GATCATTACTACACAACTTCACATATAATGATGAGGAATTTAAGGAGAACCCCTCTGTATTGTGTGGAATAATCAGAAAATTCATTAGAAATTATGCAACTGCTTTATTTCCTTCTAATGCAAATTTTATAAGTGACGTTGGGTAAACATTTAATATCTATGATTGAAGTGTTACAATACTCCTGGCAATTATATTTGAATAAACAAATATAAGAAATAAATCTACATGAATATATAAAATAAATATAAGAATAGCATTCTCAGGCCTGCTATGTTAACTTCTTTCTGCACAGATTGAAACTATTATTTAATAGACTGAAAAGTATGAAACTACTAATATTCAACCATTTATTACTACAAAAAAAGCCATTTCATGTGGTTCACCCTCTAGTTCTGTGTTCTGGGTCACTGTCCCAAAGCTGTGTCCCCAAAGCTGTATATCCTGGGGGCCTTACATCCACAAAGTCCAAATGAACAATGTAATGGAAAAGCATTTATACAGTAGTAGAAGGACTTATACTTCCCCTCCCACCCTCACCCCTACCCCATGCCCCCTATAACCTGGGCTAGAGAGCCATGGCATCATCACAACTCACAGCAACCTCCAACTTCTGGGCTCAAGGGATCCTCCTGCCTCAGCCTCCCCAGTAGCTGAGACTACAGGCACTCACCATCACATCGGGCTAATTTTTCTATTTTTTGTAGAGATGGGATGTTGCTCAGACTGGTTTCAAATTCCCCAACTCAAGCGATACTCCCACCTGGGCCTCCCAGAGTGCTAGTATACTTCCCCTTTATCTGAGGTTTCACTTTCCAAGGTTTTAGTTATCCATGGTCAATGCAGCCCAAAAATATTAAATGGAAAATTCCAGAAATAATGCAATAGTTTTAAATTGTATGCCCATGCCCTCTGAGTAGCGTGATGAAATTGCATGCCTTCTGGCTCCGTCCAGCCTGGGACGTGTATCCTTTGTATAGCACATCCACACTGTAGATGCTACCTGCCCATCAGTCACTTAGTAGACACAACTCACTTATTAGTTCAAAAAAACATAGTGTATATAGGGCTTGATACTATCCACAATTTCAGACATCCACTGGGAGTCTTGAAACCTGTGCCCCCTAGATAAGGGGGACTACTGTACAGAGCTGGAAATTGAGTTCTAAACTTTAGCTGTTTCCCACTCCACATTCCATATTTTATTTTAAAAGGTGACTGAAATTTATTATCCTTGTGGATGTTAAGTCCACATATTATTCACTGAGATTTAAACACTCAGGAAGGGCTGGATGCAGTGGCTCATGCCTGTAATCCTAGCTCTCTGGGAGGCCCAGGCAGGAGGATCGCTCAAGGTCAGAAGTTCGAGACCAGCCTGAGCAAGAGCTAGACCCCATCTCTACTAAAAATAGAAAGAAATTAATTGGCCAACTAAAAACTTAGCCGTGCATGGTGGCACATTCCTGTAGTACCAGCTACTTGGGAGGCTGAGGCAGATGGATTGCTTGAGCCCAGGAGTTTGAGGTTGCTGTGAGCTAGGCTGATGCCATGGCACTAAAAAAAACTCAGGATGTTCCTAAGGTTGCAGCCCAAAGTGTCTTCAGAGAACATGTTTTGACTAAATTAGCAGGTCATTTTGTGGATCAGTTATTTTGAGCCGTTGAGAGGAGACTCGAATTGGACCATGCACCCAAAAGTGGAAATACAGCAGTGAGAACCCCATGACCTTTATGGGAAGACAGTGCAAGGAATGCAATGAATGGTGAAGGATGTGGATTGTGAAGGCACATTTATGACACTTACTGGAGCTACAGAATTTCTACTAGATAAAGGCTCCAAATGTCTGCTGCGCCTCTGTTTTGTTTCGTAGTATATCGGAAAGAGAGTCCCAGACCACCGTGGTGCGTGTCTGTGCCCCTCCTCTTGTCTTTACTCCAACACCCGCATGTGACACTAATGGAATATAGCTTTCAAGCTAGCAGGAAGATCAATAAAGTTTCCATAAGCCTAGCGAAAACTTATTAAGCATCATGTACATGGCTCAGTTTTCTCTTTTAAAAAATGAAAGAGAAATTCATGTAAATAATACTGGGAGGCACCTGAGTCATTTTAAATGGTTGTATTTTTTTAACAGTAAATTTAAGAAGGGTATATGTAATTCTTTCTGCTAGTTAACTAGGATGTTCAGACATATTTTTAAATTTTGGATATCTGAAAGTGAATAAATTTCTGTTTTCATTGTGTTCTTAAGCAGTGAAATTCCCTGTACTCTTGTTTTGTTTTGTTTTGTTTTTATTGATTGATAGATTGAGACAGAATGTCTCTCTCTCTCCTGGCTAGAGTACAGTGTCATGATATCATAGCTCACTGCAACCTCAAAACTCCTGGGCTCAAGCGATTCTCCTGCCTCAGCCTCCTGAGTAGCTTGGACTACAGGCATGCACCACCACGCCTGGCTAATTTTTCTGTTTTTTGTAGAGAATAAGGTTTCACTCTTGCTCAGGCTGGTCTCAAACTCCTGACCTCAAGCAATCCTCCTGCCTTGGCCTCTGAGAGTGCTAGGATTACAGGCATGAACCACCTCGCTCAGCCTGTACTTTGTTTAAAAATCAAAACAAAAAACACCCCACAAAGTTTTATTTTCTCATTATTATGGTTGAGAGTTTTTTAAAGGATCATATTTACTTAATGTAATGAAAGGCATTAAATCTTAGAAAACTGGCATCTCTCTAAGCCCCAAATCAGGAAGACTTATTACCTCTTCCCAAACCAGGGCATACCCTAAAAATCACAGAGATAAGTTCAGCCTACCTGAGAGCCCCCAGGAGGTGTAATTGTAACTGAACCGAAAACCTCTGAAGCTAGTAGCTGAGCGGACCTTCTGCCTTGTTGGCCACTTGCTCCGGAGCCCAGGACCATGTTGTCACCAAGTTAACACAGGTTTGCCTTCCCTCAAATGGGGAGAGAGCTGAAAATGCTTTCTACCATTTTCTGAACCTTGCCATGGCCTAAGCAGTGAACTGCCTTTCTGCACATTATCTCATTTAATTCACAACTCTGAAACTGGATTTTTCCCCCTCTTTACAGATGAGAAAATTAAGACTTAGTTTAAGTGATGTGCTGAGGATTCACAGCTCATAAGTAGCAGAGCCAGGTTTGCTGACTCCAAAACACACAGCTAACCTGCACAGGTGCTGTGAGTATGAGATGCCCAGGACTTTATGGAAGAGCTTTAAAGTTGGTAGAAAAGGGCCTAAATATTTGTTGAATACCTAATGTGTGCCAAGGCCTGTAGTGCATCCTTTTTATTTATTTATTTTTTTAAAGAGACAGGGTCTTGCTATATCACCCAGGCTGGTCTTGAACTCCTGGCCTCAAGTAATTCTCCCACCTCACCCTCCCAAGTAGCTGAAATTACAGGTGTGACTCACCGTGTCTGGCTCCATGGTAGATTCTTAACATGCATCTTTTTAGTTAATCTTCCCAACAACTCTGGGTTAGGCAGTATCACCTCATATGACTGACTTGGAGAAATCAAGTAACATTCAGGTCACTTAGATAGTAAGTACCAGGTCTCATATTTGAACCCGTATCTGTCTGTGTCTTTCGCTGTTACCATGATATAGTGTCAACCAAGAAGTTGTTGAGAAATATGGACTCTTACAATGGTGGAAAAGAAAGAGAGCCAAAAAACTTCACAAGTACATCCAACCTAATGGTTAGAAATTAGTAGTATATCATCTTAGACTAAACATCCTGGTTTTTTAAATTTTTATTTATTTATTTATTTATTTATTTAGAGAAAAGTCTTGCTCTGTCACCTGGGCTGGAGTGCAATGGCACAATCATAGCTCACTGTAACCTCCAGCTCCTGGGTTCAAGAGATCCTCCTGCCTCAGCCTCCCAAGTAGCTTGGACTAGGTACATGCCACCACACATGGCTAATTTTTGTTTGTTTATTTTTGGTAGAGACGAGATGTCACTATGTTACCCAGGCTGGTCTCAGATTCCTGGGCTCAAGTGATCCTCCCTCCTTGACCTCCCAAAGTGCTAGGATTACAGGCATGAGCCACCATACCCAGCCTAGCCTGGTAATTTTTAGAAATTATTTTTATTTTACTAAATTTAATCTGTCAGTTTTACATGAACACAGAACAAATTTTAAGATGAATTTTAAATTTATCTTGTGATGAATATGACTCAGAGGGTCTGTTGGTATAGAAATGAATTCCAGACATCCAGATGATAATGTTCAATTGGAGTGGATCCAATAAAAGTCAGATGGCATTCAAGTAACCAACCCCCAGTTTAATTGAAATTTATTTTTTACATTTGGATTTCAGCATAATTAAGCAAACTACAGCCAAAAGAAAAAAAAATATATTTTATGGCAGGCTTATTCAGAAAAGTGACTTGTACTAAACATGTGTTAGAGTCTTTCTAATCTCCATGGTCCACTGTAATATTCAGGTAGGGCTGATGTTTGTTGTCAGGACCTAGGGCTGCTGCAGATGCTCAGTTACCAAAGAAAGATTAAATGATGCTGAATACACCAAGGCAAGAAAGAAACGAATACATTTGAAATATATTCTAAACCAATGATGCTTTGTAAAAACTAAGGTCATAGGATGTGGGAATCTTAGGAGGCATTAAAAAAAAGAAAAGAAAAACCTAAAATCAAAGACTTTAGGTTACAGTCATGCTTCCATGTGGTTGCTTTGTGTGTGAACTGGGACAGCTGGGGAACATGGTCTGTGTGGACCCTTGCACGTGCCACTCCTACAGGATTGGTCACATGAGCCGAGGCTGAATTTTGGATGTGTCCTTTCCACTGAATGGTGAGCTCCTGGAGAGCACAGGTTGTAACTGCATCGTCTTTTCATTTCCTGAATCTACCCAGTACCTGATACAAAGATTAACAGTAAATGTTGAATAGGTGGGTGTTCCTGAAGAAATTTTAAGAAACTAAATATGTCTTTTCTCTTTTGTCTCATTTGTGTAGCGCCTGACAGTTATAAAGTGCAAGATAAGAAAACTGCCTCCAACCGCCTCTCCTCTGCAACTTCTGGACAAAATAGCAACCACTCAGGAAGTAAACCAGGTACAATGTGTTGCATTCACCCTGGGAAAATAAAGGTTATCCCCAAGGCTAAAATGCATGCTAATGAAAATTAAACAAAAGTAGAATTTAGCAGAACTTTGTTCCAACTCTACTGCCAAAACACATACTCCTACTGGCTTGGGTGAAATTAAGTCTGAGAACCTCTGAAAGCTTTGGTTTTCTCTCTACAAAATGGAGATTTGAACATGGTGTGCTTACCTCTCTGAATCATTTTCACAGTCAATGAGATGGTGTATGTGGATGCGTTTGTGTACTGTTTGTGTAGCAGTTTATAAGAGGTAATAGTTTTCCTATTCTGTTTTAAATGACAGACATGACACAATTTTTTATGCCTGTATACAAAGCATTATTGTTTCTCTTTTGTGACTTTTTCAGAACTATTTAAAGAAATCTTTACACATAGTAAAGCTCATATAGAATTATGTTTTTGTTCTCTATTTCCTGCAATGGTTATACAACTACTCAGTAATTTCATTTAATAGCCTGTGATTCACGGTGTGTTCCATTCAGTCATACAAAGAAGCAAACAGACTGTATACATAATACAAACAATTGAATAGACACTGCAGTTGCTTCCAGGTATCCAGCAATGATTGTGTGGCCCTTGGGAGGGACAAATGTACAGTATGATGATAAGAGACAGTCAAAGGAAGACATAGCAAACCGAATACCCCACGAGGTTCTTGGAAGCCTCCTTCATGCATCCAAGGCCAAAAGACCCTCAAGAACAGTGAATCTGTGAGAATAAAGATAGAAATAACTGACTCTAGCATCATAGAAACATTCTCCATTATACTGTATTTAGTTTTATGATTCTTTTTTCATGTGGAAAAGCTCATAAATAGAGCAGATAAATCTGGCTTATCATTCAGATGAAAGACAATAACAAGTACTGTTGGAAGTATTGCTTGACCAGCCACTAATGGAAAATGATATGCAGTTTCTGGAATTTTAATTAGCACACTGAGGTTTCCCCACTTAGCTTGCCTCTTCATTGAGTCATTTATCCATCCATCTATCCACCCACCTCCCAGCCACCATCTAATGTTTACTGAGTTATTCTATGCCTGGGAGTATGAGAGTTACTCTATGCGCAAACGTGGCCCCGTCCTCATGGAGTTTATGCTAGTGGACCTTTATTCCTGTACTCAAGTGAGCATCCCCGTGGAGGTAGAAATTCTTTAGTGCAAAAGCCCATTTGTTTTCCAGTAAGAATTTAACAGAGCTAGGTTGTTTGTACTTTATTTCTCTGGTTCTCTCCACCATTGCTTCTAAATTCTACCATTCTTTACTATGCAGTTTATACTTTTATATCCTGATAATTCATTTATTCATGCCATGTTAGCACCATAAAGGTGCTAGGGATATATTATTAAAGACATAATCTCTACCCTCCAGTTGACAGTATGATGAAGAAAACCAATGTATGAATAGATCATTCAAACACAGGACGACCAGTGTGGTGAGAGAGATGTACATACCGTGTATAGGGAGCACAATGGCTGAAAAATCTCCTCCACCCAACTGGCCATCTGTTTATGGAGCTGTTTGATTTATATTGCCAAAGTCAAGTTAAATGAAGAGACATTTAATTTCTGATTGTGTCTTTTGAGCATCCCTGTGTCTGCTTTCTTGTGTTTACAGATAAGCAAAGCTATATAAAAGGCTCTTATTTTAGAAACCACCATGTTATTTTCCTGATTCTCTCCAAAGGATGATATGAAAGGTTGCATGTTGGAGGGCTGGGCTTCAGTAAAACCTTTTAATTTTATCATATGAGTCATGGGAATGTCTGTAAAGCAATTTGTTGATTTTCATTCTCTAAACTTGAGGGGGGTTGTGGGGTGAGGGAAGTACATATAGTATTTTGGGATATTTTCCTAACCAGATGTGGGCATCCTGACTAAATGATTTCTCATAGTCCCTTTTAACCCAGTAAATTCTAGCTGAAATTCCTTCCCTCCTTTACCTTCTGATATTTACACTCATTAGAAGGCTTCAGAACATCTCTTTGATTTAGAAGGCATCTATCCACATTCAAATTGTGACTATTTTATATTTCAAACATGTTATGGGCCGGGTGCCATGGCTCACACCCGTAATCCTAGCATTCTGGGAGGCCGAGGCAGGCGATCACTCAAGGTCAGAAGTTTGAAACCAGCCTTAGCAAGAGCGAGACTCCGTCTCTACTAAAAATAGCAAGAAATTAATTGACCAACTAAAAATATATAGAGAAAAAATTAGCCAGGCATGGTGGTGCATACCTGTAGTCCTGGCTACTCGGGAGGCTGAGGCAGAAGGATCGCCTGAGCCCAGGAGTTTGAGGTTGCTGTGAGCTAGGCTGACGCCACGACACTCGTGTCCGGGCAACAGAGTGAGACTCTGATTCAAAGAAAAAAGGAAAAAAAAACATGTTATGGAAGTCCGTTTTAGGAGTATGGGCACACTGCGTCCCATGTTGTCCAGGAAGGACCATTACTCTCCACTGTGAATACTTGAACCCAGACCAAGAGAGATAGTTTGTAAAGTTACAGATCTGTCCAAATCTGCTAGTTCCTGAAAAAGTAGCGGATGATTTTTCAGAGCCCTGTCAGCTGCCTCCAAATGATTAATGGTTTGACTTAATCAGAAGAGAAAATTGTGTATTTTTTTTCATGACCTGAAAACAGCAGAAACCCATTCATTAAAAATCTCCTTAATTCCTATCCATCTGCTAGCCCCCACCACAAGTCTTCAAAAGAGTCACTAAAACTTCCTTCTACCTTATTGTTTGTAAGTAATTTTCTCACACAGAGGAATACATGACTTGGAATCTTCCAGCCCTTCACTGACTGCTACATGATGCCATTCTAATGACTGTGGCTGCCATGGTGTGTGCTGGGGCACAGGATTGAGTTAGAGATCGGGTTGGAAGCCCTAGCTCTGACACTTCACTGTGCCATCTTCATTAGTCACATCTATTTCTCTCAGTTTGCTCATTTGAAAACTAGGTATACTAACTCTTCATTGAATGAATAAATGCTTGGCTGACTCATAGGATTATTGGGAAGAATAAAATGATAACATATGTGAAAGCACTTTGCATTTTACTGTAGAAACAGTAGTTGTTAGTTATCAGTCAAGGTCTAGTGAGTTCTTGAAAAAGCTTTGTCAATTTAAAGAGTCATTCTTTAATAGTGTGATCATACTCTCAGATTTGTGCAAGACAGTCCAGGTTTATGAATGTTACGGAACACAGAATGTTAATAGCATTCCCCTTCACTCTTAAAAATGCCCTATTTTCTATGACCACCCTATACTTTAACCATCACAGATAAGAGGTTGAATGCAGAGTGCAACTGCAGGTTTACTTACACCAAAAAACCTTTTTTCCTTCTGAGAATCAGTAACTTAATTTTATTCTAATAATGTTAGATCCACTAGAAAACAATGTGAACTATACATAATGTTCCGGGTTTTTTTTATGCCTTGATTTTATTTCAGGGAAAAAATGATGTGGGAGTAGAAATGAGAAGAGAGGCAATGAATTATAGAATATTCACTATTCACTGTAATTATTAATTGTATTTTTTGAAAACCTATCTTTGAAGATAAATTTTATCAGTTTTTAGTTAGTAAAACTAAAATTTTATTTGCTACCATTTAAATTTTTAGTCTGTTAACAGATACAAGATTGCTCTTAGTTTGCCTCATTGGTGCATGTAGATGAAAGTTTAAAGGCTCTGAAAATTAGCTAAAGTTGTTCATTTATTTATTCAATAAATACTTACCAATTATCCTCTTTCTGCCAGCTACAGGCCTAGGCAGCAGTGAGCAAAACAGACAAGCCTCTGCTCCTCCCCAGCCCCATTCACAGCCATCTTCAGTCTGCCACAGGTGTTAATGATGTTCAGAAGAGTGGAAACAGAATTTAAGCTGAATAACTTATTCTCTCTACAATTCAATATTTTCTAGTGCCATATTCCTAAACCAACCCAAATCATCTGTATATCACAGTCTCTATGTGTCTTATACTTTAGAAATGTTGCATTCTTTACTTCCTCATATGCAATTCTAGATAGATAGTAATCATTTCAGCACTGATCTCAAAGGAGAGCCATGGGAACTATTCCAATCCTAAGCATCGGCCTTGTTTATAGTGATTAATTGATGTATTTGTGTAGCTCAGACTGTACACAGCCTCATTTCTTACATTTTATCTTACCTGAAAGGGTGCAGTTTGTTACATGTGAAGAGCATAATTTTCATATGAAGTGACAGTATTGACATTAGGGAAAAGCAATGCCACCTCTCACATCACTGTTTCCAGAATATACACCAAGGCACTTAAAAGGGAAGCATTACTTTGCATAACTGGGCAGTGCCTTATTACTGCCACAGGACCAGTTAATTGTTACCACTTGGGGCTCTTGGGGTTAGGGTGGGCAAGGATGTGGATGTGGGTGTCCCAAATGTTGTTAAAGCTTTCATTTCAAAATTTTGCATGAAATTTGTCATGTACTTGAAAGTAAACTAGAAATGCTGCGTACTTTATATTGAAATATCTGTTAACAGAATTTGTCAGTATAATTTAAAAAGTAATTAGGCCAGGTGTTGTGGCTCACACCTATAATCCCAATACTTGGAGAGGCCAAAGCAGGAGAATCACTCAAGACCAGGAGTTTGAGACCAGCCTGGGCAACATAGTGACACTCCATCTCTACAAAAAATTTTTTTAAAAAATTATCTGAGCACTATGGAACATGCCTATGGTCTCAAACTACTCAGCAGGTTGAGGCAGGAGGATCCCTTGAGCCCAGGAGGTAAAAGCTGCAGTGAACTATAATCACCCTGTCGTACTCCAGCATGGGTGACAGAGCAAGAACCTGTCTCTAAAAATAAAAAAATTTTTAAATGTAATTAAATTCTCTATTTTATAAACTTTCTATTATGTGCATATATGGTGTCTTATAAATAAAGTTGATTTACAACTTTTGCAATTAAATGAAAGCTTTTATGAGTTAACAAACTTCATTAAGGAGTATTATTTTAAACAATAAGTAATCGTTAAAGGTCTTTGTTTTAACTTCATCTTGACTTGCACTCAATTCTTTATTTCTTCAAAATACCGTTTTGCTATGGCCATGATTTTCTTTCACCAAAAACAAATGACAATAAAAAGCCCCTGTGAATGGCCCCTAAGAAATTGCCTGAGAGGGTCCACATGTCCTTTTTCCTGTTTTAGAATTAATCCTTTTGGAGCCAGGCTCCATATTTTCTTACATAAAAAATATGTAGAACTTTATAAATGATTAGGAAATCTGAGAAGTTGTTATCATAATGACCGTGAACTACTGAGAGGTCCATCTTAACCAATTTTTATAAACTATACCTATAAGCAAAGAAAAAGTGTAACATGTCATCATCACCTAGTCTTGCTCCTCTCCCATACTGCCTAGTTTATGCAGGCTCCTAAAGTGGGCTTTTATACAGTTTTTATTTCCCTTAAATATACAAATTCTGTAAAGTTTAAGAGACATTTGGGATGCAAGGCCTTTAAATTTATTGACGAAGCACTACTATGTTGTCTCTAATGTATTATTATAGAGAGTTCTCATTTTTAACATGAGATTCTAAAACTGTAATGTCAGTTTAATAGAAAGAAAAATAAGTCTGATCTTATGTACAATTATGATGATGATCATTATTATTGTTTTTATATGGCAACAGACAGAATGAGGCTGTAAATGTAGCTCTCTGCTGCACTCCCTTCCCCCAACCTCACTCAGTATAATCCAAAGTCCACTCTGACCAGTGAGCCCCATGCCCTGCCCTTGTGTCTCCAGGCCCATTGCTTACAGATCTTAATCTCTTTTAGGCCCCTGGATCTCCCTGTTGTTTCTTGAGCACATTAGGTACTTGCAGCCCTTGCAAACTCCGAGCCTTTGCACTAACTTTCTATGGACTATGTGCACAGGTAGCTTCCTCACTTCCATTAGGTGTTTACATATAAAAGTCAGTAAGGCCTTCCTTAAGCCCAATCTAAAAATTTAAACTTCCTTTTCCAGACATGTCATAATCCCCATGTCATAATTAATTGCTTTGTTGTCTCTTTAGCATTTATCTCAGTCTTAACATTTTTATGTATTATTCTCCTTTTTTCATTCTGTATGTTTTACTTATCCTGTTTATTACATTTTTCAATTAGAATGTAAATCCCATGAGGGCTGAAGTTTTTGTCTTTTTTGTTGACTGCTGTCTTCAGTGTACATAACAGTTGCCTGGCACATAGTAGATGTTCTATATGCATTGAGTGAATGAATTCATTTACTGGAACTTATGTGCTAGGTGTTACATTAACACTCATTATCATTCTAATGATGTGAGATAGGTTCTCTTTTATCCTCATTTTACAGGTAATAAAAACTCACATCAGAGCAGAAACTGAACTCGTGTCTCTCTGACTCCAGTGCTTCACCTCTAACTGGCAAACATCTAACATCTATCCAGTAGAAATCTCCTTACTCAGGATTCTCTTTCCTGTTAAGGATCAGACTTTTTTTTTTTTTTTTTTTAATTTTTTTTTTTTTTGAGACAGAGTCTCGCTTTGTTGCCTAGGCTAGAGTGAGTGCCGTGGCGTCAGCCTAGCTCACAGCAACCTCAAACTCCTGGGCTCAAGCGATCCTTCTGTCTCAGCCTCCCATGTAGCTGGGACTACAGGCATGAGCCACCATGCCCGGCTAATTTTTTCTATATATATTAGTTGGCCAATTAGTTTCTTTCTATTTATAGTAGAGACGGGGTCTCGCTCTTGCTCAGGCTGGTTTTGAACTCCCGACCTCGAGCAATCCGCCCGCCTCGGCCTCCCAGAGAGCTAGGATTACAGGCGTGAGCCACCGCGCCCGGCCAAGGATCAGACTTTTTAAAGAATAAAAGTAATAGAAGTTCAGTAGGTTAGGAATATAAAACATCATTGATTTGTTTATAAATAGCCAAAAGCCTACAGTTATGTTATGACTTTACATAATATTTTTAAATAGAAAGAAAATGCTTGGAAATTCTTAGAAAGTTATATATAATAAAGTGTACCACTATAACTATAGCTACATGTACTAATTATTATAAGACATGTAGCAGTATTTCATTCATCGAATTTACTGGACAAAAGGATATTTATTAATATATGTCTTTATTTAATTCACTCTTTGTTTCATGTTTTTTATCTCCTTTTCAGACCCTCCGCCTGTGCTACGGGTTGATGACCGGCAGCGGCTGGCCCGGGAGCGACGTGAGGAACGAGAAAAACAGCTAGGTACCCCAGGCCCTGCATCCACCACCCTCCTTTGATCATTCAGGGACACTCTTGTCGAAATGTTACCTTTTTACTTCAAGGATGAGTGACACTTAACATTGAGCGAATGGATGTCACTATAATAACCATGCTCTCCTGCATACCTTTATGAATTTTGCAAGTGGATTATGAAACAGAGTTCAGTATGCAATACAGTATAAATGTAGGGCTAAGTTATAAGTAACAGTAAACTCTAGCTCCAGGATTAGGGTCATTTTTACTTCTTACCATTAATATGTTGTAATCACAGTTTAATGGGGCACTAGAGGGAATATGTATATGAGTGAGGTGATGGTGCAGCTTGCATTTTACTGCAGAGAAAATGCAAGGGCAGTAAGCATATGGCTCCTTTTTATGTGAAAAGTTATGAGACTATCCACTGTGAGGGCACTTAACTGCCTTCCGTGCTAATGCTGCTGTTGAGTTTATAGACAGATGCTACCAGCGTACTGCCAGGAAAAGCATAAGCCCTAGCGCTGAAGCGTTTGATTTTTCTCTTATTACCCAAGGCCCTTGTGAAAGGTTGGCAACCGCAGTATTTGCCATATAATCACCTGGAAACCTGGGTCACAGGACTAGCTTAGCAGGAAGCCGAGACTAGAGCACTCAGAGGTTGTACAAGTCACTGTCTTCTAGAGCATTGGGCAAGGAGGCAGCTGCCAGCTCCCCCTTTACTTTGATGTCCATTTATGCAAAGTTGCTAAAACAGGATACTCTGCTTTATGAACCTTGAAAAGATAAAATGCTTGGTCAGCATGTTTCAGTATGGTCAGAGTGTCTGGGTATTTTAAAACTGAGACTTACTTAGATTGCCAAATTCTTCCCAGCAAATGACCTATAACTTTTCTAAAGTTGAACTGTATTTTGTCAGAGTTAATGTTTCAACTGGGGGACTCCTATATCCCATCCCTTCTTAATCTTATTTTAGAGCCCAAATTTGTGAAATTTAGTGAAAGCTGGTTTTCAAAAGTCTATTGCCATTGTTTGCATTCTTTCAGTATAGGCCTGTGTCTAGCCCTGGCTATAATAGCCATCTGAGGTTGTTTCTTTTGCTTCCAAGGTTTGTTAAGCACAATGTCAATGACTTGCCGGAAGTGAACATCTGCTATTTCTCAGTGCTTAGAGTTTCCACCCAGGCCTGAAGTTCCCTGTCCCCCTCACAGGTCTTGGCAGGCTGGAGGTTTCTGGAGAGCAGGCTGTCCACGGTCGTCAGGGGCTCCCCTTCCTCTTGTGAAGGTGCCCATTGCTTCCTAGTGAGTTTGCTTTGACAAGTGGAGCAGAATGAGAAAGAGAGCAGGGAGGCAGAGCTACTGAAGCAGGACGAGACTCCAGATGAGCAAAGAAAAGAAACTCACTCCTGCCGTGGGGTGGAGTTATTTGCCCTCTTTTCGGATCCATCTAAGGGTTATTTGTTATTTGCCCTCTTTTCAGATCCATCTAAGGGTTAGCTCTGTGTCCCTTCCCTGCTCCCCCATCCCAATTGGATCGAGTCTGACACTTAGATGTCTCCTTAGAGTTCCCGTGCAGATTTACGGCTGCTTGAATAGAAGGAGTTCCACAGGGTCAGGAGACCACTCCTTTATGGTTTAAGTCCCATTGTGAAGTAGCTTTTCCATATTTAACCCATACTTTTCGATTTGTGTTTCTTTATCTTTGAAAGCCAAGCATTAGTAGTTTGTGGAAAGCATGAATATGCTGGGGAAACAAAAATGATTTTACTTTTTATACTATAAAGGTGTAAGACTTACAGCTTTGAGCCTGTAAATTCTCCCTAAAAGATGCCTAGCTTTGTATGTTGAGTGGCAAGATTTTTTTCTTAAGATGTAGCACCATATTTTAATTCATATTGATGGTACAGGGCATGACTCAGTAACTTATAAATTTGAAACCTTATTTGCCATATAGTGTGTTAAAAAGGTGAGTGAAAGTTGAGACCCAGCTATCCAGGGCTAGCTGCAGTCTGGTGGAAGGCAGATAAGCAAACAGCAGTTATAATATAGTGTGATATGTACACCACGAACAGATATGAACAAGGGGCTCATTGAGAGCCCATAGAAGTGCCTAACTCTGCGTGGCTGTGCCTGGTGCCACTTGTGTTCCCAACTAGAGGATGAAGAGGAGTCATCCAAAAAGGCAGCAGAAGCAAGACCATAGAGCAGTGATGCAATGACAGGTGGAAAAAGGCATTTGCTAAGAGACCTAACATCTTCAGATTATTATATGGGTCAGAGTAATTTTCAGATGATTATATTATCCTATTATCACAACTCAAGTTTTTTGGTGAGCCAGTATATAATATACATAGTTTTTCTTTTTCTTTTTGAGATGGAGTCTCTCTTTGTTGCCCAGACAAGCCTCGAACTCCTGGGCTCAAGCGATTCTCCTGCCTAAGCCTCCTGTGTAGGGACTACAGCACCTACCACCACACCTGGCATTTTTCTCTTTATTCTCACTCCTGCCATGTTAAATACCATAGTTTTTCTTAATTCTGATCTCATCTATATTTTTATTGTTAAGTATATAATTTTAATGAAATACATCAATTCTAATTTTTTTCTTTGCATTAATTTCATTTTTTTTTTATTTTAGAGCAGTGCCTTTTCTTTTTTTTTTTTAGAGCAGTGCCTTTTCGCCTATTTTTTCCACTTACACCATCATAGTCAGAACTAAGTCTTGAGAGGCTCCCTTCAATCCTCATAAATATATGAACAAACATATACGAATAGATTCGCTCATACACTTGTAAAAGAGCCATCTAAAACCCAGCATCTAATTTAAGCCGTGTCTTACAGTACATGAGGGTGTTTTCTAAAAAATCATTAGTACAAAAAAAAGGGACATACCTGACTGACTACCCATAAACTGTGCTTTCCAAAAGTTGTGACAGCAGTAGGATTTTTTTAAAAAAAGAAAGGAATTTTTTTAAAAAAATCCATCACGTAATAGGAAATCTTTTGACTATGCTTAATTTGAAAACAAAAGGTGGTTTATAATGTCAACTGTTACTGAGCTTTCAAACTTTAAAGGTTTTCACGTTTAAAGAAAGTTGGAAACCATTCCATAAATTGTAGCAAAGCAAAATTTAAAATGAATAGCAAGTGAGATTGATTATTTACTGTTCAATGTAGATTAAAATTAACATTGAAATCATTAAAGATTGTCTTAATCCACACATTTTAAAAAGGCAGGTAGGGAGAGGGAGAATAAAAGTCTGATTGCGTTGTTTTTGGTGGCACGGTATATTTGAGCTGTTTTGCAAACTGGAATGACCTATTAATAACTTTCTGTGGGTTAAATCTCTGAGTCATGCTTTAATGCTTTTATGGTAGGATTATATTGTGTGGGCTGCTCTTTCTATATTATTCTTCAATTTTTCACAAAATCAGGCATAGTCCTTCCTGTATGAGACTGTTCTGTCAGTTTGGTTGAGCACATTTATTCTGCAAGCTTCATTTTTCTGCTTTAAAAGCTTTATGCATGGAGGAGACTCTTGGACCACCCTATTCCATCTGATTGTATTCCTTCAAATGCCTCTCTTGACTTCAGCATCTCTTTCACTGTCTCTCTTATAAATTTTACTTTTGGTTTTTCCTAGGGGGGAAATATCTCATTTCTTCTCATAGACTCAACTCTCCTTTCTAATGATAAGGGTTCCACATTTCCAGCTGCTTATAAGACAGCAAATATTTCCCTGTTATCTTTCCAAAACTGATTCATCTTGGTAATTTCTGTGCCCCAGTCAATTGGACTAATATTTCTGGCCCCAAGGAATTATTTCTTTCAGCCATTTTTGATACTTCTGCTACAAGCACTGGGTTTTCTGGCTACCAGTTGTAGCTATTGGATCTTTTGCAGAATAAAACATTCTATCTTCCTTGGCTGGCCTAATACTGTCCACTGCCTAGTTCTACCCTGGCCTGTTGGGCTGCTTTTAGCTACTAGTGGTCAGTCTGGTCCTCTAATTGGGGATCAGACTGGGCTCAGCCTGGTCCTCTAATTGGGGCTTTGACTATTTCTAGCCCAATTATGTAGGTAGAGAAGTTGACATACTCTATCCCCAAATCTATTTAGTCACAAATCTAGCTGACTTTATGTTCAAAATAAATTTTAGATCTGTACCATTTTATTTGCTGTCTCTGCCATTATACTAGTCCAGGCCTTAATTAATTTATATTATAATCACTGCAACTGCCCTGTTCTTCATACCTCCAACTCTTTCACAACTTGTGCCAATCCTTTTCTTTAAAGCCTTCCTAGGCAATCTTCACGATCTTTCCACTTTTGGAAATTCTGTCATTTTTCACTATTTATCTTGCATAAATATCATAATAGACAAGTATTAAAATTCTTATTCGTAATCATTTTCTCAGGTGAACAAGAATACAGAGATAATCTGTAGGATAGTTGTGCCTTGAATTTTACTCTTCAGATGTTGTACAACTAAAAGTCCTAAAACACATTGATAAGAAAGTTCAAGAGAATATTTAAGGAATGTTTAGCAAGCAAATAGTGCTTTATGTTTGGGGAGATAAAGGGTTTCCCTTTTTCAAGATGATATGGAGTAAGTTTGAAGTATTTATTATATGCAATTTTAAGTGCCTTGCACATATTAGGAACTCAATATTTAGTCTTTTTCTGAGATAAGAATTTTTATGTGAATCTTGGATTTCCAATTGGGACTCTTTTAGGGTTCTATAAAATCATGAAAGATTATCAGAGAATGTATGATTGACTAACATAGCTCTTAAGGAAAAATTTGAGCTTATAAATCTATAAATCAGTTTATTTATATTGGGTTTTTTAGCTGAGTTCAAAGCTGTGTAAGAGATCTATCATGTAATGTTTTAGAAAGAATAAGATAATATAAAAAGGATTTTAACATTTGAACAAAATTCAGTTAAATTATACTTTCTTCTATAGAGAAAATATAATTTCTTTCTAGAGAATTTCGCCAGGCTTCC